CTGGCGTGGCGATGCCCCTACAGGGTGCTCAGCGTCGGGCGTGTCCGTGCTACAAATATAGGAAAGGAAGAGAGAGGTCATCCGTATAAAGATAGAAAAAGAGAAGAAGGAAAGAAAGAGAATGAGAGGGTGAGGCAAAAGGGAAGAGGAGGTGGCGGCGGTGGCGGCGGCGGCAGCATGCCCTGACACACACTTGCTCAATAAAATTAAGCTCACAATGGAATTTTGGAAGAAATCAGGTGCCAAACCCAGCAGCTTCACAGTGTGTCTGAAGCAGGGATTTGACATTAATGAAATCAGCAGAATGAAAAAGGATATTTCGGCAGCAACATTGTGCTGCTGTGCCACTGCATTTGAACCTGTCACACTGAGCACGGAGCCCAGTGACATCATAGCCTCGTTCTTCTAAGAGTTTGGCCATCCCCTTGAAATATCCTGGATAATCAGGGTGGTCATCAGGGTAATAAAGGTGTTGTATGTGACCATCCCATATTGTATCTGCCATATGCTTAGTTGTGGTTTGAGGTTTTCCATTGGGCTTGTATATGATTGCACCCTCTCGTCGTGTGCATTCACCAATATGTCAGGGACTCGTCTGGGGTCGAGGGGGTCCGGGTGTAGCGTCCAGGACCGAGAGCCTGGCGGGGGGCAGATCGGGCGTGCATACTGACAGGCCCGATGCGGGACAGTGGTCCCTGGCCACTTAGACTGAAGTGGAAGGTTGAGAAGAAGGCTACTTCTTCGGTTCCCACTTCAGGTTCGTTTATATACATGCGGCTTGGATCACATGATGGGTGCCACGTCACCCTCGCACACAGCCGTAACCACCCAGGTGTCTCTGTGGGAGATCCTGAGGGCATCCGGTGCAGGCATGCGTGCTGGGCACAGCGGGAAGTCGCCCAAGGTGCCCGGGCTGGGTACATGGTGGGCATGCTGCAGATGGGTCAATGGTACATTGATACAGAGAAAGTCGTCCATGTAGAATAAAGGGAGAATAAAGAAGAAGTAAGATAAGGAGAAACTGAGGAGGGGAGTGTCAGGGCACAGCCCTTGACCCCACTCACCCTCAGACACCCTCACCCTTTCCCTAACCACCCTCTCTCCACATTTCCCCATTCCCCACTGTTTCACATAATGACACCTGTGCATGAACCTGTGGGAACGTTCTGGGCGAGCGACTCACCCAGAAATGTACAGCCACAACCGTGGGAACATTCTGGGCGAGCAGCTCACCCAGAACTTTCCCATGGGTCACACCCATTATGGAAAGTCGGCAGCAAGCGGGAACTGTATAGTTCCTAGGGTCCTTTTGTGTCAGCCTCACAGGGGGCTGAGAAGCTTACCCTTCTTCTCAGCTCATTCCCTGTGAAGGCAAGTGTACTTACCCGCTTTTCAATGAATAGCAGCTCATTCCCTGTGAAGGCTGAGGCCAGTCCCCTCAGCGACTTCGAGGAGTTAGCACCCAGGGAGAGTACCCCAGCATCCACACCCGGCCTCGCCCTCCGGCCACTCCCAGCTGGGGTCCGGATCCTGACAGGGAGGATGAGGGGGGAAGAAGGGAAAGGGGGAGGAGGTAAGGAAGGGTGGACTGGCAGGGTACCGGGTCAGGTTGGGCCGGGTGGAGCCGGGTCAGGCGGGTGTGCCCTGACACACTGTTGCAAACCACTCACTTCTCCACTAAGGTGCTTGACCTTGTTTATTCCTTAGCTCTCATTCTTAGTTCTGCCTTAGCCTTTCACACATCCCACCCCCATCCCCATCGCCTCCTGCTGTACCATTGACTGCCCTTGTATCATGTTTCAACTGTTTTTCTTTTGTTTGCATTTAGCGCTTAGTGATAAGTGTTTGCACTGGGTCAGTTCAACATTGTTTGTAGCTTGTAACTATGAGCCACTGTGACTGTCCTGTGCAATTGCATTCGCTGCTGGCCCACTGTGGGCCAGGTCCACTACACCACTGATCCAGACCAATTAGTCCTATTTTTTTTCTCTCACATGACCTCCCACTTCACTGACCAGGTGGTGTAGTTAGGTTTACTAAATCTCATCTTGGATCGTGTGGAGAGAGAAGGAAGAGATCTTGAGTTTTGATGCTCAGTTGACAGTATGTAAGGGGTTGGTGTAGGTTCCAACCCCAGTTAGCCTCAGTCCTCAGTTCGTCGAATATTAAGCTATATAGAGCTATGATTATTCAATGATGGGGAGGGAAAAAGCTTTTCTTTCCTTTTCCCAAATTCCCACGTTATTGTATATACATTGTTTATACATGTTTATTATGAGACACACATAGAATTAAGATGGAGAGTAAGGGGTGGGGTTACCATTCCTTACACAGTACCAGTTCCCACTACACATATTATCATACACACTCTCTTCATAATAAGATTGCCAGGATGGTCTCAGGACTGAACTGAACAGTCCCAGGACTGTAACCACAGTTCAGTTTGGTTTTGGTCCTGGTTCAACAGGACAGCAAAATTTTGGGATGGTCCCGGTTCTGGTCCTTGAACAATCCAAACCAAACTGGACCATGGCACCCCTATGTGGGTTCTGTGTGCTGCCCTTGGGGTGGCTGGTGAGGAGTTTGGGGAGTTGCCAGGAGATAATATTGAGGAAATTTGTATCCGGTGCGACTACTGGACTTATCCAGAGCTCCAAATTCTTATGATGTAAACCAGCGTGACTGGACAAATGACATAAAATGGACAAGCCTGGTATTGAACCCAGGACTTCTAGCATGCATCCATACACTACTCACCCATTATGCCAGGGGGACCCCTTCCCTAATGGTTTGGGAGATCACTTGATCCCTTCCTCCAACAAATATTCTTTTTCTCTTGGGTGTGGATGGGACTGCAGGTGGGTCAGGGCTGTGGCTTGTTCTCCCCAGTGACACGCTTCAGGAGCAGGGCCCTTCTGGCAGAAGGGTCTGTCTCTGGTTCATGTAGCAACTTACCTTGAGGACACTTCAGTTGAGGCTGCCCTGGGTGGCAAGTTTGTGGCAAGTGATTGTGATTTGTACAAATGAGAGCACATGGAGCTGGGAGAGCGTGACAGAGAAAGGTTATGGGGGTCGGCAAGTGAGGTTGACTTTGCAGTCGCTTATATAAGCAACTCATGCTCAAACCGTGGTCCAACCATTACAATGGCAGTTGGACTCAACACAAGTAGTCAGTAAGAAGAAAAAAATGTATTATGATAGGAAATATGCAACTCTATGAATTTAACGCTTGTGTCAGGGATCAGCACCCTGCCTTAGGGTGCCCCGGACTCCCCACCTACTTTACCCCCTTTTATTCTTTGACTGTTGCCTTGTTGTTGCCTTTGTGTGTTGTGTACACGCACGTGCACGGGATAGCGTGGGAACTTTCTGAGCGAGCAGCTCGCCCAGAATGTTCCCACGGGTCACAGCCACAGTTCTGGGTGAGCAACTCGCCCAGAACGTTCCCACGCTTACTGGGCACTGCCACCTGGATGTTCCCTCCGGGTCACACTACACAACTCTAGGAGCTGTATAGTTGTGGGCATGTGACCCATTCCTTTATATAGCAACCATGCGGGGAGATGAGACCTTTACCCTTCTTCTCATCTCATGCCCCGCATAGTGTGAGGACAGGTTAGATGGGGGCTGAGGTCAGGGAGCCTCCGAGCCCTGACAGCTTGATTGGTGCAAATTAGTCAGTTATATGGCAAGATCAAGGGGGGAGATGGCAGTCAAACTAATCCGTTGCTGAACTGTCCATGGAATGGTGATTAAGGTACTGCAAAATAACTTGCTTTAATAATTCCTTCCTTGGCCCAGCATGGAGGTTCCTAACAGGCGTTTTTGGTGGTATAAGACCATCTTTACCTATAGATCGGTGCTTGTTGATTTGAAGGATCACATCACCCATGTTCCCCATTTAACTAGATATTATTTCGGAGGACCCTCTGTACAGCCCAATAAAAAAATTCAAAGAGATTTGGCCAATGCTGGGACAAGTGCAATGCAATATTGTCAGGTCTGATTTCCTTATTGATATCAAGGCCAATCCTCGGTGTAAATAAAAATAAATAAGAATCTTCGCCAAAGTTTTTTGATGGCACAACTCAGTTTGGATCATTGAAATGAGGAGAATGAGGTTTATTTGATTGCAAATCATGTTTTGGTCGAAATAAATCTCAGTTTAATCCCATTTCACGTGACTAATCAGGTGGATCCGCGCGCGCCTCAGAGGAGGCCGTCTTGTTCTGCACTGTCGCAGTGCGGATGGAACAAGACGGACGAAACCCTCCTCTGGGCCCAAACTTGGTCTCAGACCAGCTGCGGGAAGAGACAAGTTGCATCCGGGAGCGAGATAAAAAGCGCACCTTATCCACTCCCCACCTGCCTGCGCAATCGTACTACAACGTCTAACTGGTAAGTTAACGGTAGTGCGATGAGGCTTCTAACTGTGTGTGCTGGCCCCGCTCCTCAGGCCTGCACACGGTTATCCCTGCTCTTGCTATCCACTAAACGCGCGCTTACTCTTACTTTCATAGTTCTTAACTGAATCTCCGCGCTTCCCACCTCCTTCCCCATCGCCTCCGTTGCGTTACATCATTTTTTCACTTGCTACCCTCTCCTGCATTTACTATTAATGTATTTAATTGACGTACGGCTCGCATCGCTGGCACACAATCATACGCATTGCAGGTCCATACGGACCGTGTCCACTAACTCATGGACCGCTCACGGAACCGAACTGATTAGTCCTCTTCAAATGAGTTCCAAGAGGCATCAGGATAAAAACATTGCTGTGACCTTCCCAATTTTTTAGCACTGTGAAACTCTAATCCGACGAAAACATTCTGGTGTGCTCTCTTAACAAACTTTAATAATGTCATTTTGTGGGATATGTTGTGTGGAAGGCACAAAACTTCTTGTAATTTTTGTCCCATCTCGAGCTATCTGGTGCTTACATAAGCTGGCTGAAAGGTCAACGTGGGTTGCCGAACCCCAACTTAGGTTATGCCACTGAACGACTGAGAAGTGTGATATCGGTTGTTGAACCCGAGAATTTTCATGACCTAGCTTGCCTCGCTGGGTCAACTACCTGACGGTGAAGCCACACAAAAGGGGATTGAACCAACCCACAGAGTCTACAGTTGACCCCCTCAACCCGATCTTTTTGACGTGACTACAACTGGTGGAGGGCTCCGTCAACTCGCCCTTACTGAAATTTCGGGCAGCAGTCAGCTCTAGCGCTGATTGGTTCTGGTGATACGTAGTTTGGTCAGTCATGGCATCGTCTCCTAGGGTCAGCCTCCGATACGCACAACAACTTCGCCCTAAGTCTGCACGAACCGACTTCTGATTCTGACCTGAGGTGTTTTGTCCCGAGTCCATGCCTCAGCAAGCATGTCCGTCGTCGTGAGAGGCTAATTACATTTGCTATTCATACAAGGGGATGTTTAGCCTCGCACTAGCTGCAAGCGGAAGCACATAATGGGTTCCTCTTCTCTTCGATCCACTTCTGGTATTTCTGGGCTGGAGTTGACTCAGATCGGTAATAAGTCTTGAAACGGTGGCCAGTAATACATGAAGGCTGATCATTTTCAATCTAGCATAATAGTCTTTGCATTTATTCGTGGCTCCAGTCAAGAAATACCGGATTATCATTCCTCTACTAGCCATGAGCTTCGCCCATCCAAGAATATCACGATCCTGATTAATCAATTCCCCAGATACCAAGTATCTGCTCCCTCGTCCCTTCCATGGAATGCCAATAACCATCAGCGTCGTCATGCGATGGTGGTACCCGGACACTTCTGGGCATTGTCACTCATATCTAAAGACCAACTCAAATGAGTTTCCTCCCATTCACCACACCACTGTGATCACTCTGAATCCCTCATGCCTAATGGATGCACTCCTGCACACATCGAGCATGGAGAAGTGGTGCTCAACGTGATAAATAACACAAGTTGAGATGGGGCCTGGGGCAATCACATAAGAATAGGGATGACAATCCTATCCGAATAATCTCACCGGTTCTGTGCATACTTGTAAATTCAAGGCCAGCAGCTTTAACTGGGCAGTCTCATCTCGAGCCGTCATCGGTCAATCGATGCTAGACGACTGTGAATAATTTGTATTTGAAGTCAACCTGAAGTACTGGTGGGATTGAATCATCGCACGTTGGGGAAGTCTTTGCCTGGGCAACAGCTCGAAAGCGCTCCAATTCCGAATTCATATATAGCATCAGTGCTTCTCTACTATAATCTTACCGCGAGGGTCGAACGCTGTATGGTTTGGAGTAAAAAAGATGTGCTAGTCGTGATAACTCACTTACGGCCGGGTGAAAAGTAATGTAACGCTTCGAGCTTCGTGCTTTCATTGTCGGGACGAGGATCCTGAGGACGCCTAAAATCCTACCTGGATGGGAGACACCATTAGACTCTCGATATATGTGCTGATGTAGTCAACACCCGTCATGAACTGTACAATGAGATGAAATTCGTCTTTCCCCTTATTCATGCCGCATTACACATTAGAATATCAATGTCTGGCTACATCGAAAGGGTAATAGTGGCGAGGAAAGGGCGAATCTTTGGAACTCCTCTTCCCTAGTTCTCACATTCGAGTCTGAGGTGAGAGTCACTATTTTACTTTCTACACATTAACTCACGTATCGCTCACGTCGCTGTTACGCAACATATGCATGAGTGCAATCTGGGGGGCAGGGAATAACGACCATCACCAAGCTTGCAGTAAGATCTATCGAACGTGACAGTTCTATGTGACCTTGTCCAGCCGAGCACCCAACAAGCTCGTTGTCAAAGGAAGGCTCATATATTGCAGACAATGCGGTGCCCGCGCTCATGTCCCTGGCTCTCAAATACAGTAATGCACATGTAAAGCGGGACACAAACAATGAAGGAGAAAAGCATCATAGTAAACACCTAGACAACTTGGCTAATATCAACGACGATTGGGGCTCGCATACGACCTTGGACCAAGAATCGAGTTCCATCTTTGCTAGCGCAAGGAAGGTAGAGGTCATACTTATCCCTCAGCATTCGATCCCCATACCATACTTTTTGACTGTTAACCTGGTGCTGGTCAAGAATGACCGGGCGGTATTCTGGTGGGAGAAGGAGTTCAAGGTTCCCATTGAGCCAAATCGTCTGTGTTCCAGTGGCACTACCTTGTCTTTGCCCTGCGAGGATGGGAAGTCGATTATCCGAAGCCAGTGGGAACCTTGATGAGAGCTCGAGGGATAGTCGCTCCAGCCACAATAGATCTGTGTCATTCCCAGCCATGAGGCTCTGCACACGAGGGAAGCCATTCTCCAGGAGCGAAGGAATTTTCATTCGGGTTTGGGTTATGAGATGTGGGCGATGGTGTGTGTTGTAGGAACCAGGAACTATGGATCCAGACACATGAAAATGAACTAACTCATGCGTCTCTGTTGACCAAATACCGATATGATTGCCATCATGGATGATGATGTACCGTCCTTCAGGGGAGAGTCCAAGTGTGCAACGGTCAGGCACGGCTGGCCTAGTGGAGGTTAAAACACTGGGGCGAGGAGAGGAAAGAGGGTGGATGGATGGCTCATCGGAGACATGTAAGATCACCATGTTTTTGTACCAACGGAAGTGAGGAACTCGTATGATGAATGAGCCGTTGTCTGCAACCAGAGTAATGGGAGGGTGATGGCCACTGGGGAGGGTACCGACCTTCACAGATGGCAAACCATGGCTGAAGACCGTAATGGTTCCCTCATTATCTTCGGCAGCAATCCGGTGGCTGCCACAGATAAATTCAATCCAAACTGGAGGATTGGGTGGGTCACATTGGAATTGAGAGGTGGTTCGGTGATGATCGATGTCGGCAATTTCAATAATGCCATTTCCAAAGCCGAGTGCGATGTAGCGGCCATCTCGTGAGAGTGCTGCAGCAGTCACAATACCATTACGAATATCAGGATCAAGAAATTCAGCACTGTGATCGATCCTGTCCATCTCATCTATCTTAGATCTACCAACTTCTATCGGTAACGCATTGAGTTTCGCCTCCATAACCCTTTGAGCACTAAGAGTATCCCCGCTTAATGGAATTGAACGGCTAGAGGATTCCCCAGTGATGCTGAAAATCCGAACGGGATCAGAGAGATGTCCATATGACTTGAAAAGTGGGGATGAGGATGGAGTGAAGGGAAGAATTGACCGAAAAATATGCCAGGGGGAGGAGGTGAGTTCATTCTTGGTTATTATATCCTTCACCCTCTTGACTTCTTCGAACCATTCAGTCAAATTGTGATTCTGCAAGGGGAATCAGTAGAATTGAGTGAAGTTAAACTTACGACTTACGTTAGATCGAGGTAATTCATCAGGCAACTCGAAATCAAATTGTGACAGCACCAAGAATGAAAGTAAGTTTCGGGTAAGGAACACATGAAACTCGCTTCTGAATTCGTTGGAGGAGAGTCTTGATGGATCCGAGTGGTAGAACAGGCAGCGGAGAGCATATTGGACATGTTCAGGCTCCTTCTTCCCCTGAAATCCTTTCCGCTTGTGGCCATCTCCGAATAAACCTATTTTGGATTTATTCCGTTCGATAATGTCATTTACAAGCCGAAGAAGTGGTGGTCCCAAGAAATGCCCCTTCAAATCACTGATGAAGAATGGCTGGTCATTGTCATGACCCAATGGGCGATCCGTGAGAAATTCTTTCATTGTTGCATGGTAAAATTTGGGGTATACCGCATCAGGGGCAATTCGAAGCACCCGCATCAAACCTTGGAGGGACCGTGATTTCTCTGAGGACAACTCAATAATTGAACTGATCGGCTCTAGGGTTGCATGGACTTCATCCTCGGCTATCCCTAGGAGCTGCGACATCGAATATAAACTAAGTGGCCGACATGCTGCAATGATCGTCCCGATTACTTGGTGGTAATTCTCGATTACATGTGGACGAATGCTAGACTGACTGGACATATATGCTCGCCGTAGTATTCGCAAATACTCCGACTTCAGGTCGAGTGGCGCATCGGTAAGATTGCGAAAGTACTCAAACTCCCGCTTGAGAGTGGAACCGCGTCGAGTCTGATCATGGACATCACGTATGCGGATTGAGGCAATAACGGGCAATCCACGGCAAGCCGAAGCAAAGGTATCAAAATCCTCCGGGGACGGCTTCCATGTAGATTTCTTGACACAATCCTGAAGGCCCTCCTCCGCCATACAGCGGACTGTGTGCAAAGTCTCCTCCCCAATCTTATCAACATCTTCACAAGGGATATTGAAACCTTCACCCTCAGCATCGACCCATGCTGAGATAACTTGCGGTTCTGGGCGAGAACTGACCAACACGGTAAATGTGGAAGGCAAAGCGCCAAGCATTAGCACAAGCTTCATCAAGGTTCCAAGTGCTTCCTGATCCCCGCACTCGTCCAAGCCATCTAAGATGATGACTAAGCGGTCCTTGCTCGATAACAGTAAATCCTTGAGATCGACCATAGGTTCAACAACCAGAGCGCTCATTTGCTTCTCCAGAGGGAGATTTTGCGCCAGCTCGAGGCCTCGCTGCCGAAGCCGTTTGACAAGCGAGAGCTTAAACTCCTCATTGAAGGACGCAAGTTGATGCGCAAGAGTGGAGGGAAACTGTTTAATAGAATCAAGTCCCGTTCCCGGTTGATTCTTATCCCAAAAGAAGGATGCCGCTAACGTGCGCTGTTCCTCCAAGTCGGACGCGATGCTCAGGGAAATCGCAGTCTTTCCCATTCCGGGTGAGCCTCGCAGCCAGACGAATCTGTTCCCTGCTTTCTTCAGATGTTCGACTATAGACGCCTGTATCTTCTCCCGTGTGCCTTCCAGGCACTCTGACTTGGCTGTGACATAGGTGTGCTCAGCAGGGACCCGTGGGAGTCTTGAGAGTTCGGCTGGTAGTATCCTTCAGCAAAGAGTCCGAAAGGATGTGCATAGAAGCGTACTTCGCGTTGAAGACTGAATTGTGTGAAGGAGTGTCAAAATCGCTGCCTCCGTCTATGGGGTATGTTCCAATCAGCGAACGTGCATGCTTTAGGCACTAAGGGAACAAACCGAGAATGATGTGACAGCGTCGTTGATGCAAGTCTTCACGCTGTTTACCCGTTGGGTTACGTCGGACGCTGAAACGATTCTCCTTGCTAGCTTTTGACTCGAAAGTGCCTGAATCTGCTTCGTCTGTTCCTCCAAGGCCCTGGGGATGTGGTTTTAAATCGAGTGTGCAACTGAAGCGAATGTACACACAAATGGAATTCCTCGATTAGAGCCTTTACTTCGGGAGGAATCTCGCCTGTCCACAGTTGGAGCGGTCGCAGGATGGTTGTGTAAGCTTCAACGACCTCACTTTCTAGCCCTTTGAGGTTTTCGCTATTACTGTCAACTGTCTGTGTGAACCAAAAATGGACAAAGATAAGCCACATGTTATCACCGATAGTGAAACTAGAACGCTGCTCAAACCTTGTAAACTTGGAGAAATGTCAGCAGTAGACCCGGAATTTCGCTCAGAAGCGGAATAGGAGAAAATTTAAGAGCGGAGGTAGCGGCCTGTAGAATAAGCTCCGTGGTGCCGATAATGATCGGCTTCTTTCCGGGAGCCGGCTCCAGTGACGAATCCACGTCTGGGTCTAACCCCACGCGATCTGGTTGTGAGTGGAGGCTCGAAGCGCTGTCGGGCATAGTGTCGATGCTGCGCGTCGAACGAGTAGGCTGTTTGGGATCGAGATGAGATGGCGATAGCCGCGAGGTATCAGGGACTGGGGGATGAACCGCAGACAGTTCTAAGTGGGGCATAGTTGACCTGTTACGGCAATTGAGACTTGACCAACGCCCGAACCACCCAGTAGTACAACACAAAGACAATATCTCCGAATCACTAGGAGGCTCCTCAAGATGCGATCCTGTTGGTCCATCTTGTCCGTTCCTACGGATACTGTTACGGTTTTGGGTTTCATTGGGACCAGTGATATGGATCTCAGGGGCTTGGGGTGACCCCGATGTGCGCGATGACTGTAAACCACGAGCAGAGAGCTGGTATGCAGGAACCTTTCCTTTCGGACCTCGAGAGGAAGATGGCGGTTGTTTTTTGCCAGGCATCACGCTAATGGTATGGACGATAGTGAACCAGGGCTCGAAGCATGAAGGCTGGAAAGCCCGCCTAGCCCTTATAAACGATACACGCAGAAGCGGCTGAGTCGAGGCAAGAAGCGGCCTTGCATTGACCACGATGTAAGGCCCCAGTGAGGCAGTCGTGCCTCTTACATTGCCTCATTTGGAACATGTTGATTCCAATACGGGAGAGCGGCCCTTTTCAGTCCCAGATAGGCATGAAGCTGCGCAGTAGCAGGTCACTCCCCCAATGTTGAAGTGAACGGCTCATTGATATTAGAATGACATGTACGATAGGATATCTCCGCCAACAGGTTTAGTGGTGGAAACAGCCGAGTACCATCTATTGCAAAGTCTCACCTGATGGCTGCTTCGCTAGACTCGGAGGACCTGGATGAATTGGAGAAGCCTTCCTTCTCTTCTACATCGCTAACGACGACCAGAGACTAAGGCATCTCACGCTGCAACGAGCAAAGGCTCTCATTCCTAATAACCACTTCCTCGAAGAAATACTACAGAAATCCGCTCATTTCAACAAGTTCAGCGTCTAGCCCCCTCGGTCCTGGTTTCCCTGCCTCATCGTTTGATCAGAAACCCTTCGACCACTTGACTTGCATGAATCACTTGCACTAGAAGTAGAGTGTCAACGTCTGGCTATCTCCCCGTATATTTGGTTTGTTATGCATCCTAGCTGAACGAGCGGATTAGGGAGCAGCGCCGGGGCCCAACTGGAGGCTTCTTTTTGTAGGGATTATCGGGGAGATAATGCTCAAATCTTTCCGCAAGCACTTGGTGTTTACGACGAGATACATAATAGCACCCTATATTACGGACGCAGCATTCCCATTTTGCAATCAAATGGAACGGGAAAATCACGCCTGGTAGCAGAAGTGTTGAAAAACGTGTGTCGCAATCAACCCATCTCTCCAGCTGGGCTCTGCTGATTCATGCTCCAGACACCTGGCTTCAGTATTTGCTTCCGCGACTCGAGCAATCCAGAGGCCGGCTGGCCTCCGTGAGATGAGGCCATGTGTCAATTCGTAAAATCAGTCGAGTATTTAGTATATTTGATTAATAGAGGCCAAGGCAATGATCCCGTTAGGATGGCCGCTGCCCTTATCGGGGCACTTTTTAAACAGGTCTACGAACGCCTTGGTCGTAATCCAAATGACGATCTTGAGACGCAAATGTGTGCCTGGTCATATAAATCTGTGTCGCGTGGGGTATTGTTTGAGTCAGTTTTCGAGGCAACTAATCGGTCTCTTGCAAATGAGATCGATAAATGGCATAAGGAGCTGTGCCGACACTTTTGCTTGAAAGCGACGAAGAATCTGGCGATTGATCTTCAGCGTCTCGGGCACGACAAGTTCATCGCTGCATTTGACGAGTGTACAAACATTATATCTCGGAGTTCAACGCTCAAACTTGCCGTCGGGACTGGATCGAAGTTCCTATCTCTCGCTTATATGATGTCGATATTAGCACTTCAACGAATGATTAAGGCCCAAGATGAATTTCCCATCGAAGGACTTAACTTTTCCTCGATACGGGTCCCACGATTGCCGACTTTTTTCGTCCATGTCACGAAGCATCATTAACCCGACACACTGATCTCACGACGCTCCCGCCTTGGCCATATTTGTAACTGTACACTCGCCAGTAAGGACTCCCAGAGAGGCATTGTCGTTTAGCTATTTAAAGAATTACGGCCGCCCAGTACGCCCAGTACGCCCCTTTAGCCCTACTCCATTCTCACTTCTAATCGTATGGAACATTGCATCGGGTTTGGCTTCAGTTCTGCTCCACGTATGCTGCAACTAATTTCCTGTCCACTACCAGGAGGAAACTGTACATGTGTTCAAGGTCACCATATCTTAATCCCATCGATGTTGACCATGTTTTTTTCCACACAGATTCCCTGTCAAGCTTTCAACCAACAAAGCTGGATCTATTCTTGCTCTCTCAGGCGTCCGCAGCCATATGCGAATCCAGAGGGACATCGTTGGCTGTTTGCATATTGAAACTGTCGCTCCTTCAGAGCCGGCACTGGCGATCACAGCCATGAAGGAGCTAATGACATCGCGAGAAGCATACAAGAGAGCCCTTGACATTTGTTGATAACCTGATGATCAACGGATCCATCCTCAAGCGAAGTTATCAAGCCAAATTGTTCAGCTGCATTCTGTTGACTCTTGCGCGGGATTGAATTCAAGAGCATTCAGCAGGTCCCCACGATATCGTCAAAAGTGTTCTTGACCACCCTCCTTGGCGGGAGTTTTGGGTTGCTCCCCAATGATCAGAGCCTCCAGTTCTTGAACGAAATGGACAATGCCCATATCAACTTTACGCACATCGTCCGGCTGACGTAAGACGTTGAGAATTTGTCATTTAAAAGACGTGGTGGTGCTGCATTCCAGTGCAAGTCTCACCAGCCTTGTATTGATGGGCTCATTGTTACCTGCAGTGGAGTGCTTGATGACCTGGCATTTACATTGGGACGGTTCAGTTACATAGCTTAACTATCGGAGCTGCGCGTTGATGCATCTACTTCTGACCTTCCTTCGGAACTTGTTGGATCTCGTATCGAAGGCCAGAGGCCTCAGTCGTCTGTGGTGTTGTTCATGGGTCTGGGCACTAACTGCCGTTTTGGATCAACCGCAGGAAAATTGTGTCAACTCACTCTTGGGCCTGCGCAACATCCGCACGTCCCTAGGCATGGGTGGGGAGGTTACATGCCTACCCAGGACGAGGAGCCCCCTCGATGATGCATCCATGGTCGAGGACACACATACGTCACGTACCCTGTGATCGAAGGGGTTAGCTTGCAGTCCACTGCCCTCTTCAGCCAATCTTCGCCCTTGACGGACCGGGCTTTGTCCGAAAAAAATGGGGGAGGTTAACCTTTCGTTGTGCGGTTGAACCTATGCAAAAGTCAGAGCTCCTGGATCCGAGGTCAAATAAGCATCAGCTGTTCGTGTAAGGTGCGGGATTTTAGCGACCCAAACTCTGCAGCGCTGTATTATCATCACACGCACTCCGTCATGATGAAAATGAATTTGTGTGTGACTCCGATCAAGACTGGGTGACTACAGCTAGTGGTGGGCTCCGTCGATTCGCCCCACCGACATTTCGGCCGTGGCAGTCAGTTCTTGTACCGTTATCCTGCACAATAGCAATCTGTGCCGACGAAATCGATCCCACCAACATCGATGCCTAGCTTTCCCTTCCCACTGGGTCCAACTTGAAAGTTACCCAATCCTAGTCCGCCATCTGCACCGGGGACGGGAGCAACTGCTGGAACAGGAATTCCCAAAGATGATTCGCCTAGGCCGGATCCAGGCCATATCCCGAAGAGAGCGTAGAATTAAAGGTTGTTTTGGATGCAGAGGGATGTATGGAATGTTACGGTGAATTTATGACCTGGGTGGAGGTCAAGATGCTAGTCTTCATTGTGCGAGTATCTGGATGTGACGACGTCCGAGAGGAGCGAGTAATGGTAGATCGGATTGTTGAACCTGAAGTTGACCTAGTTAATATCAATACACCTTGGGCTCAGGTATCGTCTTCCCTTGAGGCTAGTGAGAAGTCCATCGAAGACGAGCGTCATATATCCCAACACGATGAGGATACGGCCGAGTACGTACAAAACTGGATGAAGGTTCTTCGGCGTAGCACGGGTATCCGGGAATAGGCAAATAAGATATGTACGTCACAATGAGATGGGAGGTTGTTGTTGTACTCTATTTTGTTACCCCGCGGCCGCGTTTGTACGTGGCAGTGCGGCTAGCCCGACTAATAATTACATCTGAATGTACATGAGGGGCTCGTCAATACAAGGTAGGGTTGTCTGGTTGGTGTGGTCGGGGTGACGGGGTCCTCTGGGTTGTGATGTCTGGGTTCAAGTCTTATCTGGGTATGCGTGGGGGTGTAGTGATGTCTATGTCACTCCTCTCTCCCTACGGGGGGTTACTGGTTGGGTATTCCTGTTTCCTGTTCCCCCGTTCGGAGTCATTCTCTGTCCGTTCTTTTTGTCGATGGCCCGCGACTTCTTGATGAAGTCTGCTAGTCTAAGAATGCCTTTGGGCTTCCCCATAAGGGTCGAAAACCTGTTCTGACGGCCCCGGATGAGATGGGAGGTTAGGATGTAGATCGGGACGCGCGGGCGCACAAATCCACGGCAGCCTCGGCACATGGAGCCTTTACATAAGTAAATACGTCACAGAATATCTCTGCGAGTTGCCACATGGAAACTGGGCGGTTTCCATATACTGTAGCGTGATTTATAATCGTTCACGCGGCTGCCACAGCCCGCCTGAGTAGTTGCATCTGTGTTCTCTGAAATATAGAAGCAATGGTTACCACACTGAAGACTACTATGAGATGAGCCACATGCATACTTACCTGGATTTGAGTAACCAAACGTACGTGCCAATCTCATTTGTGTACCACAATTAGCCAAGCAGCCGCGCCTCCATGGACTGCGGGCACACTCTTAATTGTGATCTTATCTAGACTACTTAATGCCCGTCCAGGTTAGGGCGGATGACTTGAAATAGCAGATCAAAGGAACCGGCCGTTATGCATCGACCACATTCCCACTTAGGATAACGGTAGCCACACACAATGAGCGCCTGGGCTGGCTAGTCCGAAATGAATGGGTGCACTCGGTGCCCGGGTTGGAAAATTGAACTAGCTTACTACTAGGAATTGTCATCTCCAAAAAAACCCATTTTGGATTTATTCCGTTCGATGATGTCATTTACAAGTCAAAGCAGTGTTGGTCCCAAGAAATGCCCCTTTGAAGAATGGCTGATTACTTTCATGACCAAATGGGCGATCCATAAGGAATTCCTTCATCGTTGCATGATAGAACGTAGGGTACACTGCATCAGGGGCAATTCGGAGCACCCGCATCAAACCTTGGAGGGACCGTGATTTCTCTGAGGACAACTCAATAATTGAACTGATCGGCTCTAGGGTTGCATGGACTTCATCCTCAGCTATCCCTAGGAGCTGTGACATCGGATATAAACTGAGCGGCCAACGTGCTACAATGACTGTCCCAATCACTTTGGTGGTAATTTTTCGATTACGTATGGATGAATACTAGATTGATTGGTCATATATGCTCACTGCAGTGTTTGAAAACACTCTGACTTCAGGTCGAGTGGTGCATCTGTAAGATTGCGAAAGTACCCAAACTCCCGCTTGAGAGTGGAATCACGTCGAGTCTGATCATGGACATCACGTATGCGGATTGAAGCAGTAACGGGCAATCCACGGAAAGCTGAGGTAAAGCCGTCAAAATCCTCATTTGATGGCTTCCAAGCAGATTTCTTCACACAGTCACGAAGGCCACCTCCACCATATGACGAACGGTGTGCAGAGTCTCCTCTCCGACCTTATCGATATCCTCGCATGGGATGTCAAGACCTCGATCCATGGCATCGTCCCAAGCTGAAACAACCTCCTGTTCCGGGCGAGAGCTGATAAGCACAGCAAACGTGAGAGGTAAGGCCTGAAGTGGCATTAACACGAGCTTCATCAAGGTTTCAAGTGCCCCCTGATCCCCGCACTCATTCAACCCATCAAGGGTGATGGCGGTCCTTCCTAGACAACAGTAAGTCCTTGAGATCCATAGGCTCAACAACCACAATCGAAGTGTATATAGGAAGCCGATATACCCCCTCCGAAAGGAAAACCAATGTGGCCATGCTGTTTGGGTCGGGGCCACCGGGATAGTAGGGAAACTTGGTCCTGATTGTCGTGTTGCAAAAGGACAGTGTTGCCCAGTCCGGATGCTCCCACCTGGATGGCCGGTACACATGACGTCGTTGAGTGTGAACAGGATCTGAACGTAATTATGTTAATTATAATCCGTGAAGCCGGGGGAAAGAAACAGGGAGTAAAACATACTGTTCCAGGCGAAGTGTAAGTCCGTCATTTGATTTCCTGGCATCGTCAAATCCACAGCTAATCTCAACGTTATAAGCGTTCGGCCCAGTGTCGCTAACGTTGCTTCCCGCAAATTGATCCCCAACTTTCCCGTCCCACTGGGTCCAACTCGAGCGTTACCCAACCCTAGTCCACACCCTCTGCACCAGGGACGGGGGGAAACTGGAAGCCCCAAGTATGATACGCCTAAGCCGGGTGAAGACCATATCCCGAAGAGAGCGTAGAATTGAAGGTTGTTTTGAATGCAGAGGGATGTATGGAATGGTACGGTGAAATTTTGACCTGGGTGCGGAAATGCTGTCGACTAGGGTGATAGATGAGGAAGGAAGGAAGGAGGTCAAGATGCTAGTCTTCATTGTGCGAGTATCTGGATGGGGCGACGCGATGGTTTTCAGAGAGGACCGAGATTCGAGCCACCAGCCTCTATTGATTCGAGCGAGTACTTAATGGTAGATAGGATTGGCTTGGGTTTGAACCTGAGCTTGACCTAGTTAATACTGACCCTAATAGGTTTCGTCTTCCCTTGAGGTTAGTTACGAAATCAGAGGGTGGAGTCCTGGATAAGTGAGGATCTATCAAAGACGAGCGTCTTATATCCCAACACTATTGTAACGGACACGCGGCCGGATCCTACGAGAATCAGCAAAGGATATATCGTAAGATAGGTCAGAATGGGAGGTTAGGATATCAAAATGTTGCACAAATGAATTTGAAATGCTGGGGAATGGAGCCCGTTACATAGGCAAACATGTCATTTTTAGAGTCGGCTATGATTATGCATGCGTGCTCGACCTCGACCTAATGCCTCCACGAGCGATCCAGCGATGTGCCCCATACCCCTAAGTTTGGTCATTGGAATTCACCTCATGGCGTGTAGACCGTGACACGTTATTTCCATGCCTGCCTTTACCTTAGTCTTCAATTCGCCTTGTGTTCGCTGGCGTTTCAGAGCAGCACACCTGATCTAATTTTTCCGTCGCAGTGAGGGAGGTATGTATCTATCGGGCACAGCTAAGTTTCCCTCCTGTGAATTTACGCCAACCCCCGCCGCGGATTTTCCAAGAGTATCTCCTTTTAATTTTGTCGCCAAAGTTGAAATTCTTAACCAAGATCTGGCAACTCTAATGGTTTGTGATTGGAATCCCTGTGGAGTATTCGCTGACGAGTGCAATTTAGTTTACGAAAATGGCGAGGTTTGCATCTCGGTTGATTACCTTCCCACTTTCAGATTCGCTCCAACTCATTCGCAGCACTTTCAGCATGATCCGGGAGACGACCAGTGGAGGTACCTGAACGTTGGTTACCCATCCACACTGTGGACACTATGGTGAGTAGTCAAGCATCTGCTCCAACCGAATCCATCTCTTCTTGCTTGAGCCTGGTTAAATGGGAATGATGTCGCTCCCCGTTGGGTAGCTTGTATCTGTTATCTCTCTCTGCTTAGCGCAGACCTCCCCAGCCTTGATAGTCCCGCCAACGTTGACGCTGCCGCAAGCCAACTCTTGCATTTCTATGTCTGTTCCTCACAAGCCCCTTTTCGTCCCATTTTCGCCGTTATCACTGGGCCCATACAGAGACAGGTCTTTCTGGAGGCCGCAAGAAAGTTCGATGTCTTGCTTGTGAAAGCGCTGAACAGCCCACATGAGCCTCTGTAACACATCGCTGGACAGCAGCCAGCTTTGTGGTACACGCCAAGTGCTGCACGGTGGAAACTGGGCGCTCTCCATATGCTGTGGCGTTATCTATAATATTTCAAGCGGCATGCACGACCGGCCTGAACAGCTACTGCATCTGCCGGCCTTTTCATGTCATTGTCCCTGGTTCGACAATCTCGCCACTGAGTGTTGGTCGTGTATAAGAAGGGCGAGTCTTCCTCAGTTCTCGTATTCGAGGCTGTGATGGAAGTCACTATTTTGCTTTCTACACATTAACTCATGTATCGCTCATGTCGCAATTACGCGACGCAGGTATCTACAACATTATGCACAGTTTGATCCGGGGGACAGAGAATAGTGACCATCGCCAAGCTTGTAGTAATATTTATAGAATATGATAGTTCTATAAGCTGAGCAGGCTTACATGCCCAACAAGCTCGTCTTTCAGATGAAGGTTCATGGATATTGCTGCTCGTCCCTGACTTTCAAATACATTAATGCACATGTACAACGGGACACAAACAATGCAAGAAAAAAGCACCATAGTGAATGCCACAAAAGAACTAGACAACTTGGCTAATATCGACAACGATTGGGGCTCGCATACGACCTTGGACCAAAAATCGAGTCCCATCTTTGCTAGCGCAAGGAAGGTAGAGGTTATACTTATCCCTCACCATTCGATCCCCATACCATACTTTTTGACTGTTAATCCGGTGCTTATCAAGAATGATCGGGCGGTAGTCTGGTGGGAGAAGCAGTTCAAGGGTACCGTTGAGCCAGATCGTCTGTGTTAGCCTGGGTCCTCCTGGCTCGAATGGGTCAGTGTCATCGAATCTGTCTAAGCGGGTGACATGATGCCACTGATGCATATCCGAAGTCAGTGTGAGCCATAGTGAGGGTTCACAGGATAGTCGTTCCAGCCACAATAGATCCGCATCACGCCCAGCCATGAGGCTCTGCACACGAGGGATGCCATTCTCCAAGTGCGAAGGAATTGTCGTTCTGGTTTTGGTTATGAGATGTGGGCAAGGGTATGTGTTGTAGGAGACGGGAAGTGTGGATTTAGATACGCGAAATTGAATCAACTCACGCGTCTCTGTTGACCAAATAGCGATATTATTGCCATCATGGACGACGACGTACTGTCCTTCGGGGGAGAGTCCAAGTGTGCAACGGTCAGGCATGGCTAACATGGAGGCCGAAGCAACGGAACGAGGAGAGGAAAGAGGGTGGATGGATGGCTCATCTGAAACATACAAGATCGCCATGCTTTCACACCAATGGCAGTCCATGTTCCGAGGAACTCGTATGATAAATGACCCGTTGTCCGCGACCAGAGTAACGGGAAGGCAAGGTCCGCTGGGGAGGGTACCGATCTTCACAGATGGCGAACCATGACTGAAGACCCTGATGTTTCCCTCGTTGTCTTCGGTGGCAATCCGGTGGCTGCCACAGATAAATTCAATCCAGGCCGGAAGATTGGGTGGATCACATTGGAAACGAGTGACGGTGTGTTGATGGTCAATGTCAGCAACTTCAATAACGCCGTTCCCAAAGCCGAGTGCGATGTAGCGGCCATCTCGTGAGAGTGCTGCAGCGGTCACAATACCATTACGAATATCAGGATCAAGAAGTTCAGCGCCCCGATCGATACTGTCCGTCTCATCCATCCCAGATCCACCAACCTCTATCGGTAACACACTGAGTTTCGCCTCCATAGCCCTTTGAGCACTAAGGGTGTCCCCGCTTAATGGAATTGAATGGCTAGAGGGTTCCCCAGTGATGCTGAAAATCCGAATGGGATCGGAGAGATGTCCATATGACTTGAAAAGCGGGGATGAGGATGGAGTGAAGGGAAGAATTGACCGAAAAATATGGGAGGGGCTGAGTTTATTTTCAATTATTATATCCTTCACCCTGTTGACTTCTTCAAACCATTCAGTCAAATTGTGATTCTGCAAGGCAGAAGTGATGTCATACTGGGAATCAGTAGAATCGAATGAAGTCAAACTTACGTTAGATCGAAGCAATTCGTCGGGCAACTCGAAATCAAATTGTGATAGCATAAAGAATGAAAGTAAGTTTCGGGTGAGGAAGACATCAAACTCGCTGCTGAATTCGTTGGAGTCTTGTGAAGACAGTCTTGATGGGTCCAAATGGTAGAACAAGTAGCGGAAAGCATATTGGACATGTTCAGGCTGCTGCTTCTCCTGAAGTTCTTTCCGCTTCTTGCTATCTCCAAAAGAACGGATTTTGGATTTATTCCGTTTGATGACGTCATTTACAAGTCGAAGAAGTGGTGGTCCCAAGAAATGCCCCTCCAAATCACTGATGAAGAATGGCTGATCACTTTCATGACCAAACGGGTGATCCGTAAGAAATTCCTTCATCGTTGCGTGGTAGAATTTGGGGTATACTGCATCGGGGGTAATTCGAAGCACCCGCATCAAACTTTGGAGGGGCCGTGATTTCTCCGAGGAAAACTCAACAATTGAACCGATCGGCTCTAGGGTCGCACGGAGTTCATCCTCAGCTATCCCTAGGAGCTGCGACATCGAATTTAAACTGAGCGGCTTATATGCTGCAATGATCGTCCCAATCACTTGGCGATAATTCTCGGCTACGTGTGAAGGAATAGTAGATTGGTCAGACATATATGCTCGCCGCAGTATTCGTAGATACTCTGATTTTAGGTCAAGTGGTGCATCTCTGAGATTGCGAAGGTATTCAAACTCCCGCTTGAGAGTGGAACCGCGTTGAGTCCGAGTGCGGACATCACGTATGCGGATTGAGGCCATAACAGGCAATCCACGGCAAGCCGAAGCAAAGGTATCAAAATCCTCCGGGGATGGCTTCCACGCAGATTTCTTGACACAATCTTGAAGGCCCTCCTCCACCATACATCGGACTGTGTGCAAAGTCTCCTCTCCAATCTCGTCAACATCTTCATATGGGATGTTGAAACCTCCACCCTCAGCATCGACCCATGCTGAGATAACCTGCGGTTCTGGGCGAGAACTAACCAAAACAGTAAATGTGGAAGGTAAAGCGCCAAGCATTAGCACAAGCTTCATCAAGGTTCCAAGTGCTTCCTGATCCCCGCACTCATCCAAGCCATCTAAGATGATGATGAAGCGGTCCTTGCTCGACAACAGTAAATTCTTGAGATCACCCATAGGCTCAACAACCAGAGCCCTCATTTGCTTCTCTAGAGGGAGATTCTGCACTAGTTCAAAACCTCGCTGCCGAAGACGTTTGACAAGTGAGAGCTTGAACTCCTCATTGAAGGATGCAAGTTGATGTGCAATAGTGGAGGGAAACTGTTTAATGGAATCAAGTCCCGTTCCCGGTTGATTCTTATCCCAAAAGAAGGATGCCGCTAATATGCACTGTTTCTCCAAGTCGGACGCGATGCTCAGGGAAATCGCAGTCTTTCCCATTCCGGGTGAGCCTCGCAGCCAGACGAATCTGTTCCCTGCTTTCTTCAGATGTTCGACTATAGACGCCTGTATCTTCTCCCGTGTGCCTTCCAGGCACTCTGACTTGGCTGTGACATAGGTGTGCTCAGCAGGGACCCGTGGGAGCCTTGAGAGTTCGGCTGGTAGTGCCCTTTAGTAAAGAGTCCAAAAGCATCTGCATAGAAGCGTACTTCGCGTTGAAGACTGAATTGTGTGAAGGAGTGTCGAAATCGCTGCCTCCGTCTATGGGGTATGTTCCGATCAGCTAACATGTATGCTTGAGGCACTAAGGGAACAAACCAAGAATGATGTGACAGCGTTGTTGATACAAGTCTTCACGCTGTTTACCCGTTGGGTTACGTCGGACGCTGAAACGATTCTCGTTGCAAGCTTCTGACTCGAAAGTACCCGAATCTGCTTCGTCTGTTCGTCCAAAGCCCTGTGTATGTGGTTTAAAATCAAGTGTGGAACTGAAGCGCATGTACGCACAAATGGAATTCCTTGATTAAAGCCTTTACTTCGGGAGGAATTTCGCCTGTCCACAGTTGGAGCGGTCGCAGGATGGTTGTGTAAGCTTTAACGACCTCATTATCTAATCCTTTGAGGTTTTCGCTATTACTGTCAACTGTCTGTGTGAATCAAACATAAGCCATATGCCATTGCCGATCGTGAAACTAGAACGCTGCTCAAACCTTGTAAACTTGGAGAAATGTCAGCAATAGACCCGGAATATCGCTCAGAAGTGGAATAGGAGAAAATTTAAGAGCGGTGGCAGCGGCCTGTAGAATAAGCTCCGTGGTCCCGATAATGATCGGCTTCTTTCCGGGAGCAGGCTCCAGTAACGAATCCACGTCAGGGTCCAACTCCACGCGTTCTGGTTGTGAGTGAAGGCTCGAAGCGCTGTCGGGCGCAGTGTCGATGCTGCGCGTCGAACGAGCAGGTTGTTTGGGATCGAGATGAGATGGCGATAGTTGCGGGGTATCAGGGACTGGGTGATGAACCGCAGACAGTTCTAATTGGGGTGTAGTTGACCTATCACCGCAATTGAGACTTGACCAACGCCCGAACCACCCAGTAGTACAACACAAAGGCGATATCTCCGAATCACTAGGAGGCTCCTCAAGATGCGATCCTGTTGATCCGTCTTGTCCGTTCCTGCGGATACTGTTAAGGTTCTGGGTTTCCTGGGGACCAGTGATATGGATCTCAGGGGCTTGGGGTAAGGACCCCGATGTGCGTGACGACCGTAGACCACGAGCAGAGAGCTGGTAGGCAGGAACCTTTCCTTTCGGACCTCGAGAGGAAGATGGCGGCTGTTTTTTGCCAGGCATCACGCTAATGGTATGGACGATAGTGAACCAGGGGTCGAAGCACTGTAAAGCCCGCTAGCCCTTATAAATGTTATACGTAGAGGCACCTGAGGTCGAGGCAAGAAGCGGCTTTGTATTGACCACGATGTAAGGCCCCAGTGAGGCAGTCGTGCCTCTTACATTGCTTCATTTGGAACATGTTGATTCCAATACGGGAGAGCGGCGCTTTTCAGTCTCCGATTGCGGCTGGCTTACGGATCCAACCATTTTGGTCACGAGTTCAAACCATACATTTGTCGGAAAATCCCGTGTATCGTTTAAACGCCCGGGAAACATTTTATGGTGTTATATTGCAACAACTATCCATCAGCTGATGAAAATGCATAGGTCAGATGTGGTATCACTTTATGTGTTATATGAGAAAGGTTTTTGACGATTTTGATGCTGTGGGAAGCATTTATGACATATTTATTAGAGCATTTCAGGGCAGACTCTTACATCAGCAAAAAATTGTTATGCTCCTGAGTGCTCTGGAGTATCGAGAGCACTGGGAGAATCAGGAGGAGATTGGCCAGTCCAGGAACAGCCCATTTCCTCCAGAGTTGGCTAGGTACTCCAGGGCACTCCCAGGAGGGCCTGGAGCATTGCTTTGTGCACAAACATATCCAGTAAATACAATTTAAATGCTTCAAAGTGTATAGGGGTGAGAAGCTTCTGGGAGCTCCTGGAGCATTTGAAAATGAAAAGGAAAAAAAGAGGGAAGATCCCCCATGAATACCTCCTACCACAAGACTAACACAACAAGACACTGCTTAACATTTAGATCAAACACTATACTATATATCAAGGACACTGAGACTCACCAATACACAATCAAAATTTATGGCCTGATATATGATTAATCTGGCAACTTAATCACTTTCGGGCTGGCAGAATATGGGGGAGGGGGAAATGGGGGAGAATGAGGGGGGGAAATGAGGGGGAAATGAGGGGGAGAATGAGGGGAGAATGAGGGGGAGAATGAGGGGGAGAATGAGGGGGGGGAATGAGGGGGGGGATATAGAGGGAAATGAGGAAAATTTGAAAAATAGGGACTTCTAAAAAGTTGAAAAAAATAATTAGGGAAAAAATCAAAAAAATTCAGGAACTGTAGTGCCTTTGAAGTGCTTTCAGGATATATAATTATTTGCAAAATCGAGGAAGAAATGATGGAGAAAAATGGAAAATACTTTCGGAGACCCAAGAAATAATGAGAACTGAATTGATGGGAAAGTCTGAAAATTGAATAGGGAAGTGAGGGGAAGCCTTGTAGCATTGTTATTTTCTGCTGTTCTAATTTTTCCTGATTGTTCTTGGTCTCACTCCAAGCTGCTACTGGATACTCCTGGATACTCCTGGAAGCTCCTGGGAGGGTCCAGGAGCAGCTAATGGAAAATACTTTTGGAGACCCAAGAACTGAATTGATGGGAAAGTCTGAAAATTGAATAGGAAAGTGAGGGGAAGCCTTGTAGCATTGTTATTTTCTGCTGTTGTGATTTTTCCTGATTCTTCTTGGTCTCATTCCCAGCTGCTCCTCAATACTCCTGGAAGCTCCTGAAAGCTCCTGGGAGGGTCCAGGAGCAGCTGGGAGTGAGACCAAGAACAATCAGGAAAAATCAGAACAGCAGAAAATAACAATGCTTACAAGGCTTCCCCTCACTTTCCTATTCAATTTTCAGACTTTCCCATCAATTCAGTTCTCATTATTTCTCAGGTCTCCGAAAGTATTTTCCATTTTTCTCCATCATTTCTTCCTCAATTTTGCAAATAATTATATGTCCTGAAAGCACTTTAAAGGCACTATAGTTCCTGATTTTTTTTTTTGATTTTTCCTGAAAAAATTTTTTTCAACTTTTTAGAGACCAAAATTTTCCTCCCACTGCTCCAGGCACATTACATACTCCTCACCACTCCCAGCTGCTCCTGAACCCCCTCCCAGGAGAACACTATTGGCTCCAGGAGTGCCCAATCTGCTGTTTTGTCTCCCACATGCTCCAGCCACTCTTGATGCTCCGGAGCATAACGGACTTTTGCTGATGTACCCAGTTCGTTGTCGCTCCGTGGACGCGCGAAATCTGAGCTTTTTTGTTACTAAGTACTTTTATTCAATACTAAAGTAGTCACGTTGGGATTGAAGCACATGATATGAAAACGTAATCACAAGTTCCAGTCACATGGTACGGAAATAAGGCAATTAAACCTGATCACCTACTCCGAAAAACGAACACGACACTTCGCTCCAACGACTGGCACAATTTGGCGGTGGCGGTGTTCTTGGTAACATCCGGAAATAATACTTCGATCTCAGAAAGGCATCCTCGCCGTGTCCCCTTGTCCCTCCACCACCTTTCACACCATGAACACACCTGCAGATTGCGTAGAACCAGGCCAAGAATAACGTATTTCTCGAAGACCCCCACTTCCACAATGCCACTTTGCTGGAGAAGTGACATGATAGCGTCAATATTCCCATCAATTGTGGATGCCTTCGCATACACTGCCTCTGCGGTAGAGTACAACATTTGTTGCGGTGACAACTGGAACGTCGATGGAGGATCAAGAAGATGAGATCGAAGTTCAGGGAAGTGTTCTTCGATCAATACTGATGTGATGTGCCACCGACAGTGTGCCATGATTCTGACTGCAGCTTCGGGAGTCGGTAGGACATCGGCAAAGGTGATCATCGGTGGGACATTGGGAGCATTGGGGTTGTTTGGATGTGAGTCCCATATACTTTCAGCATATTCTAAATGCTCAGGAAGCACCTCCTTTGGGGGTGCAAAGAAAAGTCCTGTAGTGATGCTCTCGAACGTGCGGTCCTTAAGATCTGTTGGCTGGCCAACACCAAACTTGAAGTCACAGTTGTCGTACGCTAAGTTCACTATTCGAGTGGACCCTGTTGGAAGAACAACCTTGAAACCCATATTTACATATATTTGTATCATATACCTTCCTAATTAAGAGTCCACTATATTCTCGTCCAGCCGCCCTCAACTTGGTTCTCTCTATAGGTTATGAGCCCAGGCAGCTCGCCTGGACAAGCTTAGGTATCAAGGAAGTCTGCCCGACTCTCATGGCAGTTGGTCAAAGTGCAGTTGACCACCTTCATAAGTCCTCAGCGGAGGCAGGGGCAATCCCCCGTATCTTAAGTCCCATGCGGCATTTGTTAAGTCCTGTACACCAGGCATCCTTTTAAGTCCTTTAAGGCATTGTTTTTGGGCACTGAAGTCCAGCCTGGCGCCCACCATTAAGGCCAGTGTGTGGCATTCTTCAAGTTTGTGTTGGGCATGCAAGTCCAGTCTGGCGCCCATTTTTAAGGTCGGACTTGGCACCCCTTCATCACCCCCTTGCTCTAAGTCCTTAGACAGGCATGCAATATTCCTTATTTCCCCTTCCACTCCTTGCCACGAAATTTGCTTCTCACGGCCACCGGAAATTTCCCTTCAGAGGGTGAAATTTTCTTCAAACTGCTTGCTTCCCACTCTTAATTTTTCACTTCCCACATGCCCGCTTCTACCCCCTTTGACAAACTCAATGACGACAATTACGCGGCCTGGGCAATGTATATGAAGGCCTATCTGGTAAAGAAGGACCTTTGGAGTGTTGTATCTGGTGATTCACCCCGACCAGTTGGAAGCGTGCACCACAAGACCGTCATTGCTTGGCAAAAGAAACATGACCTCACAGCCACAGAAATCTTATGTGTCGGTCAAGTACATCACACATTGCGATAGTTCTGACGCTTGTGGCACCTGGAAGAAACTCCAAACATTATTCCGTGCCGAAGGCCACAGTTCTGTTGCTGGACTTTGCTGTCAATTCAATTCAATGGGCTATGACCCTAAGCTCTCAATGCGGGATTGGGTCACGAAGGTTGAAGACATGGTTTGTCGTCTTGCCGATAGCAATTCCCCCATGATCCCCATCGACATTGTAAACACCCTCATCCGTGATCTCCCTGAATCCTACACTCCCCTTATTGTCCTTGTCGACACCCTCCTCGATAGCCCGGATTATTCAGCAAATCTGGCAACTATTCAAGAAGTCATCAGACGATTGTTAAATGAAGAAGCCCGTCAGTGCGAAGCCGCGTCTATAGATGGGCCAGCTGTGGTGAACATTACCCGGACTCATAAAACACCGGGTACCTGTTACAACTGTGGTGCTTCGGACCACATGTGGAGTAACTGTGACATCAGCACTCGAGAAGCATGTCGCCATCGAAAAAATAATACAACCAAGTCTGGATCAGTGGAGAAGGGACATGCGAAGCTAGCAGATGTGGATGGATCTTATCCTGAATCACACGCTCTTTATTAATTGCATTCTTTATACTTCTTTCTCCTTAGTTTCTTCGTTCGAGGGTGTGTTGGAAGAACGACCTCGAAACCCATATTTACATATATTTGTATCGTATACCTTCCTAATTAAGAGTCCACTATATTCTCGTCCAGCCGCCCTCAACTTGGTTCTCTCTATAGACCCAAGGCTTTTATTCAACTCCTTCTGGTTCCTTATCAGTGACATTCGAAGGTTATCCAGTGAGGAGGTGGAGACTGCAAGTCCGGCATGCACAGCCCACTGACAGACGGATTTCAAAGCATTCGAAGCAGCCAAATAGAATGAATTCTTCACCTGCAATGCATTGCACTGTTCATTGCAACCATGCAAGATTATCGATAAGATTACGACTCCTTTCTATCCAAAACTTCAGAGTAAGTCATACATAATATGTATTGCACACTATAGCTTACAATTTGAAGCAGGGCGTAGTTCCTCTCCCTATTGTTTCCCTTTGACTGGTGCCCTGTGTCAGAGACCAGACTTGAGACGAAGGAATGTCTCCGTAATGGAGGGCTTCGGCCTCAGCGACTTCTGCCAAGAGCGCTGTGCCTAGTGACACGTCCGTGCCCTAACTTACTGACTGGCACTTAGAACCTAGGGGGGTAACTCTAGTTGATTTATCTGCTGGGGCGTAACCTATGTACAAGTGGTGTATATATATGGTTACAGCGGAGACGGTTCCGCAATTGGCGGAGCCGAACGGAGCGGAGCTAACGGGGTTAAGACATTAGCCGACTGAATATTACCAACGAGTCGGTTCGCGGGGTTAGCGGAAAGGCAGGCGTTAACCCAGAAACGGAAAGGAGGGATAGGCCTGAAGGTGGGCTCTGCAGGGCAGGCGAGTGTATTGCCCAGCGGAGGCGGGAGTGCGCTAGCAGACGTCGGAGCTGTCCGGAAGTCTTCGGGGCTCCGTACTTAGGGAGGCGTAGGTAATAAATTGAAATGAGGGGGTGGTGACCATCAAGGGGTACCGAGAGGTTTGCGGAATACGGGGGCTCCGAGGTTGGTGAGGGGGGAGCGGAGTTAGAACGGAGGGATCGGAGAGACCGGAAGTCGATGGCCGGGGATGGATATGACACCCTGCACTAACATGATCGCCACAACCGTCTTCATCTCTTCCGGCACCTAACCCGGCACTTCGACTCGGTACCACCTTTGCCCTGCATCCTTCTCGTCCCTTGCTTTCCACCACAAGGAGGTGTTGGAGCAGTCTCCAAAGTGCCGGTGCCTTGGACTCAAATAGCGGCCTAATTGCACGGAGGTCAAAATGATTGATAGGAATGATGTGAGGGTGAGTCCATTAGCTAGCATGTATTTAAATACATCTTCTACGTGATCTGCAGGTGTGTTCATGGTGTGAAAGGTGGTGGAGGGACAAGGGGACACGGCGAGGATGCCTTTCTGAGATCGAAGTATTATTTCCGGATGTTACCAAGAACACCGCCACCGCCAAATTGTGCCAGTCGTTGGAGCGAAGTGTCGTGTTCGTTTTTCGGAGTAGGTGATCGGGTTTAATTGCCTTATTTCCATACCATGTGACTGGAACTTGTGATTACGTTTTCATATCATGTGCTTCAATCCCAACGTGACTACTTTAGTATTGAATAAAAGTACTTAGTAACAAAAAAGCTCAGATTTCACGCGTCCACGGAGCGACAACGAACTGGGTAAGAGTCTGATTTCAGGGGTGTAACAAGGCATTTAATGATATCAAAAATCGCCTAATTTATCACAACGTTTAGACGCCAAAATTCACGTTTAAACGGCATTTTTGTTGGAATTTGCATGTGGTCTTTTAGGGAAACCTAAAAGTTGGACATACTGGGAATCGAACTCCAGTCTTCTGGATCGCGAACTCAGTGTGCACAGCCATTACACCATATGCCCTGTTAGTGGGGGTCGGCAATTCAGGTTGACAACTGTTCACCCACCCGTGGCTGTGCTGTCTATTGCAAATAAAGCTGGGAATGGCGGGACATTTGACTCTCTACACAACAAATATAGAACTCAAGTGATTGCAAAATAGTGTTCTTGGTGACCCATACCAGTGCACCTTAGGTTTTTTTCATTTTGAATATGCTTCTTTGTTGAGATATTGCGAGAAATCACAGTGAAAAACATGAAAGATGTCATTAATTTTGAAAACAAAACCTACGGATACCTAGATACATCCAATACAATATATATTCAATTCATCTGTAAAGTCAAGACACTATGAGATGAAGGAGAAATTTGGGCAGTGGGATTTGTGGTTATCGAGTGCATGCGGCAGTTGTGTTAGACACTGGTCCGGGGTCGGCACCGAAGGTCGCCGTTGCGGGCTGCTATAGGCCGCGATGGCCATGATGCCACGAACAAGGCCCAGGGGTAGGGCATTTGGCCTCAGCAACTCTAAAGGGAGTGCTGTGCCCCCTAGCTGTCTCTTGGCCCTCATTTCGGACTCACTGGGGTTGCCTTGTTGGGGTCAGGACTTAGGGGTCATGGTCACATCGATATTAGAGCTAAAGTACTATAATGTAGTATACAGGATATATATAGGAGGAAGAAATGAATGGAAGCGGACCCGGGCCGAAGGCCGAAGGGTCCGGAAGCAAACAAGGATAAGGAGCGGGGTTGGCCGCATAGCGATCGGCAATGACCGAGGGTCAAAACAAACAATAACAGATAAATAAAGGAAAGAGCGTAGGGCCGCGATAGCGGCGATGGTATTGTAGCGGTGCTGGACTCGGAGTTGGGCCGGAGTCGGGCGCGGGGATGATAGTGGCCCTGTAGGGGCCAAGTGGGTGGGGTAGGGGAGTCGTGCTGGGCACGGTGCCGGAGGCGGACTCAGGGTGGGAAGGTTGGCATGGCTGTGGGGAGTCGGCCAGGTGCAGGGGAGCCTAGGGGAAAGTGGGGGAGTGAGCAGGGAGTCCTCAGGGAGGATAGGGCTGAGGTTGGGGCTCATGCTCACGCTCGCATAGCGGGAACGGGCTCGGGCGGCATCGGGACGGGCGGCTAATGGGCCGGAATGCATGGCCGTGACAAGTTGCCGAAGCCCAAATTCGCGTGCAAAGTGGGCCTTTTTTGCTCTTTTAAGTGCATTCACACACCGGGGTTGGGTACTGATGAGGGATCCCATTGTATCATGGCTTCACAGCGGAACCGGGTCAAAAGCAATGGCTGTTCTCGTAATCAAAAAGCTGCATCAATTGTCGATGAATTCATCACAGCAAAGCTTACACCAAGAAAACACAAGATCTTGCAGACAGCCCCTATCAGCGCATCAGGATCCGAGAAAGCTCATAGAAAATTGCTTGCAGATGCTAGAATAGTGAAGGTTGCAGAAAATAGGAGGGAAAGGCAGATAAAGGAAGTTTAAGGAACTCAAATACACTGCTAAAATCGAGGCATTAAAGGCGGGTGAACTCACCAATGACATAGAATGGGCAAGAAACCCAAAGACAACTATCGCACAGCTGGCAGCCTAAGCCTCAAGCTAAATGCATATAGGCTCCAAGATGCATTGGTTCCTCTCAGCAGTCGCATTCCAAATCAGGATGACAAGGTTAGAGAGCTGGTGCTAGCAATTGAGCACAGGAGA